CCACGCCTGGCTGTCCTGTTATCATCCAGCGCCCGTCTGGGCGGCCTGTCGTCATCCAACCCACGCCTGGGTCCTCTGTCGTCATCTGCTGCGCGCCAACTGCCTCTGTCATCATCCAAGCCACGCCTGGGTGGCCTGTCATCATCCAAAGCGCGCCTGGGTGGCCTGTCGTCATCCATGCCCCGCCTGGGACCCCTGTCGTCATCCAATCCCCGCCTGGGACCCCTGTCGTCATCCATGCCCCGCCTGGGACCTCTGTCGTCATCCATTCCCCGCCTGGGACCCCTGTCGTCATCCATTCCCCTCCTGGGACCTCTGTCGTCATCCATTCCCCGCCTGGGACCCCTGTCGTCTTCTGCAGCCCGCCAGCTCGCTCTGTCGTCATCCAACCCACGTCTGGGTGGCCTGTCCTCGTCCCCTTCACGCCTAGGTGGCCGGTCCTCGTCCCCTTCACGCCTAGGTGGCTTGTCCTCTGTGGATTCCGTAGGAGGACGTTCTTTTTCTTCTGGAGCACCACGTCGGGGCAGATCATCCCCTCGCCGAGGCAGATCATCCCCTCGCCGGAAGGACCTTTCATCTTCTCTTGCTTCTCCTCGACGCCAATCTCTATTAAACCACAGGGAACAAGCAAAAAGCAGAAGCTGACATCAAAGAAAGCTTTACATATTAGATCGACAGTATCAAAACCCTCAAGGCCACTTTTTAATGTATGTGTGATCGCAGACGCGTTTACAGAGCTTGCCATTTTCAAACTTTATAAGTGCCTTTGTTGCTACGGGGAAGTGGGAGGTCACCGTCCCTACAGCTTTGGTAAAACAAACAGTTTATAATCTCCTTCAAAACTACAGTTTGAAGGGGATGAGTATAGTCCCCTGTTTGTTACCTGCTGCAACACGACCGAGAAGAGGTTTGGCTTTTACACTGAGCCTAATTTGACAAACTCGAGCTAAGTCTCAAGGAACCAATACTAAAAAATTCTACAACCACCAGCTAAGGCTCCCCCTCCTTTATGCCCGTGCCAGCCCTATATTTCAACCCCTGTTTTCATGCCCTCTGGCCCAGTTCCAGCCCAACAGAGGGCCAATACTTTCACTGAGAAGCATCCACAACTAGACAGGGCAGGACAACACAGTAAACTCATGACTCAACCCCTTCTGCCTGATGCAAGAAGCGGTGCACCAGGCTCTGGCAGGTTATCGGTGCTTGCACCGACTCTCCTTCCTAGGGTGTATGTGGGAAGTCAAGAACTGGTGACAATTTTCCCTGGGCTACTGAGTCATCAGTTCGCCTTTGAAGTTTTTGGATCTGTAACACTGAAAAGATCAGATGCTGCTGAGCAATGGCTAGAGCTTTCCACTCTTGTCACTTCTCTGGACGTTTAGTTTCATATCTGCAGGACTTTCCACACACATTTAAGACCACAAACCTTGGCTTTGTCACCAGATTAATTTCTGTATTTCAGGAAATTAACTTTCCTAAACTATTTCCTCAGCTATAAAAAGAAACAAGGAATAGTACATCGTAGAAATGTACTGGTGCCTGCTTCCTGACATGACAAAATAAGCTGCGCTGAGGTTGAGTCTCATGGATTCAAAAAACCAAGTCAGAACAAAACCCCACAGGTTTAGAAATCCACTGTGCTGGTGAGATGTAAACAAAAAACCAGCAAGGACTTGCTACAAAACAACAGATGCAGGCCTCCAAGAGGTAAGAAAAAAGAGGCAACAGTTTGCCACAACTCTGCATCTCAAGAATGTCGAGGAACTGTGAGCAGCGTATTTCCTGGTTTTGGAAGAACAAGGGAGGATGCAATTATCATTGAGCTGTGAGAGAAAAACAAGACATGGAGACTGTTAACTTCCATTTAGATTCAAATTGGATAATGTACTTTGAAAAATCTGATTATTTTGACATAAAAGACATGTAGAGAAATGGTTATAAAGTTCATCAAATGAACAAGCATTAATTCACACGTAGGTACTGCTTCAGGGGGTTAGGATTTTTAAATCCATTTTTAGATTATTACTACTTTAATTTTTTAATGACTACTTGCGGCTGAAATTATGCCTCTGCTGTTTTTCTATTTTTTAGCTTGTTTGACAACTTCAGTGTTCATATTTCAGTTTTGTCCTTCCTTCCCTCTTAGAATCCCAACTCCTACTTTAAAAGTTTACTGAATTTAAGAGGAGTGCATAAATGCTAAGAATATCATTGAATGGCACTCCCTGGCAACACAACCCAGTTGCTGTTACGCATTTTTCAATAACCTCCAGAAACCCTACGCACAGACCCATGAGAGCTGAAAGCACTCAGACAGCTTTACCAAATACAGCAAAAATTTGCTGGCAGAGTTCACACTACAGTATCCACCACTGTTACAGGTTTGTAACTTTTTTTTGCTTGTCTTACCTCAGGCCCAAACAGCACAGACATAAAATAGAGGTCAGCTCCTCTTTTCTGTACTTTTTGGCTTTTTAGTATTTCTTGACCACGAGCACTCGCTGATCCTCTGGGGCAGCAGTATGTGGCAGTAATAGCTCTAACGAGCCGTACTGAGTATGGGAGCCTGCAGCAATGCCCTGCCACTTGTCACTGCTTCCATAACCAAGTGCCCAGTTCCTGACAGCATTTTATGTATTTCCTGTGATCAGGAAACAACAGGTACCACCATAAAATGACTTTCTCTGTGAAATCAACTGGCTTTTAATTTAACTCCTACATTATGTTAGCTTCTTATTCCTACCATCTCGATATTTTTAATTTTTTTTTTAATATCAGGACTGGCTTTCTTCTCTTCCATATAAAATTTTATTACCTCATTAATTGAAGGAACAAGGCAAATACCCACAGTCTAGTTGTAACTCCTAACAAAACCACCAGCTGTCCCAGAGACAGACAGCCCTTGCTGGACTCTCCTACCTTTTTGTAATCTTTCTTGTAACCCACGATATGGAAAAGACTGAGAACACTGGAACACAGCGATCACCTGGAGCCCAGCACTCTGGAGACTGCCACACGGTACAACTGGCTGCTCCAGGACTGGAAGGACCCAGATACCAACACTGCCACGAGAAATTGTCTGAGAGACACATTTTACAGCTTCTCTCCTCGCACCGACATCCACAAGGACCTGGGAACACATGTAGCCAACAGCTGTGCTTGCCGCTAGGTACAGGCTCCAAATTAAATCCGATGCTCTGTCCTCTATGTTACTGCCTTTATCACTTGACTCCGGAGTATATTTTGGAATTACTTTACCCACAGTTAGGGTTTGTACTACTCTCTTTGTATCCAACACGTTTTCCCTCTAGGGTTAAAATCCAACTGAAGGTAGACTAGGGGCTAACAGAGAATTACACCTTTCTTCTGCAATTATGTCCGACTGTCATCACTTACGTTGCTATTTCCCAAGTTCAGGAAAAATGAAATAATTGAGGAACATTGCTCAAACTCAGCTTAATTTCTACAGAAGTTGAACGAGAAATAACTAAGACACCACTTCCTCAGAAAAACTCTATGCTATAATGGTTCAAAAATTAATATGGGACACCCGTACTGTGCTGTGTGAAAATAACACCGGATTGATGCATAAAAATAGATGCATTATACACTTCTGCAACAGGTTAATAGTTAAAGGAGTTTCACCCAATTTTCGATTTCTCAATTCATGCGAAAGTAGATCACTACAAGAATGGCAACACAGCTTTTAAGGGAAGACTGAAAGATTATTTTGTTTATTGAGAGATCGTACTCTTCCAATATGTTAGAAGAAATTACTAGAGAGAGAAAGATTAATTTAATTTGCTTCCACTGGAGTCAGAGTAACCTGTAATGGACTTAAATTGCTGCACTGGCAATTAGACATTTATAAAAATCTATCTACCTGGAAGGCTAATTAAGCAATAAAATATACTGCCAACTGGAACACGCAGTGGCACAGCCACCAGCACAGGCTTTTAAGAACAACTAGACATGCAGCATCAGAAATATTTTGGGTACAGCTCATCCTGTTGTGGAGCAGAGGGATGGACAAAAGTCAAAGATCTTAGTTTTCCACAACCTTATAAGCAGTCTTCATTACTAGTGAACATATCCAAAAGTCCTAGTATATACAGACGTGAAGAAGTGCTATTTGCTATTTGGGGTGGGGCTTTTTAAGCGCAAAGTACTTTCAGAAAAATTTTCTTCCGAAATCCTTCCCTTCTGTTCAATGCTGTCTTTCAGAACTTTGTTTTAGTTTATGGCATATATTTTGTCCTCTGTGACTCACTCTGGGACTTGAATAATTTACGACTCTGATTTTTGACTTTACTATTCTGATACACTGTCAGTTTTCTAAACAGAAAATCTCCAAGAGTTTTGTCATCCAGCTTCCCCATTCTGTATTTATTCAACTGACACTAATGTTTGAGTGGGAGAGAAATTTTTAATTTAAGAAAGAAACCAAGTAAACAAGTTGTTTATCACATGCAGAACATGACTGCCAGCTTTCACATATCTAAGCTAAAAAAAACCAGGAATGTTATCTGAACAAGGATGCAAGATAAAAACCTCTGTTTCATTTTGAGATCCTTGCAAAGCAATTTTTAACGGGTAACGTTCAGAGGTGTAAAGGCAGGAGCTATTATTCAGCTCATGCAGCTTTAGCAGGAACAACAAAAAGGAAACCCACATATTCTGAGTCCAACACAACCAGTGCTCAGGAACCCAACGATTACCTTTCCAGTGGTGCTCGTCGCCACTCGGATTCTGGCTCACCACCTCTTCTCCAGGAGCTTTCAGACTCCCTGTCACCCCAACGGGATTCCTGTAAGTCAAAAGAAATCAGGAACATTCTCTCTGACCGCTTTAAGGTGAAGATATGCAACATGTAATTTACTCCTCTCGGAGCATAGGTCTGTCGTTAAAAACTCACTTGTTACACTGTAGGGAACACTGAATTGTCAGGAGTTTGAATAACTTAACTATGGTCTTAACTGACTAACTTTACTGTGTCTGGCACAATTTAAAAAAAAATACTGTTTCCCGTGTGCCACAAACTTTACTGCTAGAGTAGGATACAAGCAAGCACACTAAGAAGTTTATGAATAAGTATGTGAACAATAGTTCAAGTGAGCCATAGCTACCACCTATTAAATATGAAAAAGTTCTCATAGCGTCACTTTCCTGCTGCTTAATGACAGTGGGAAAGAATTCAAACGATTATTTGGTTTTGTGCTTTCTGATCACATCAGAAAAGGTAAGTGAAGCTCTCTGGAGCAGAGATCATTTTGTTCTGAGTACCTCAATGCACCAAACAGGTGAGGTACTTGTGATTCACACAGGTTGCTTTGATGCAGGGCAGAACAATAACAGTTTGGGGTTTTTTAATAAAGTCTCTCCTTTTTTAATAAAATGTCTCTCCCCTTTGCTGGACAAACACAAACCATTTAAACTAGTTCTAATACAGCTGGAAGCAAATTAGGTAAACCACATAAAATACCTGATTTCACATAAACACACAATCTCTTTATGAAAGGGTGTTCTGGTTTTAAACTGCTCTTTGAAAAGCATTTTTATTTGTCGAAGCGATACACAGGCTGCGCAAAATGTTGCACATCTACCACTCCAGGACCGTCTACTTAAATCTTTTTGAAATGAACCCAAACAAGGGTGAGCAAAGAAAGAATCCCAAAACTGCGAATGGTATTTTTGAAGTGGTACAGATATCTCTCAGAATCCAAGCCAGGTTCTTCACATAATCAGGTGCCCATGGTTAGGAGTACCTCTTAGGTAAAAAGCACTGGAGTTGATTATTTACCTGATAAGACTACCAAAAGCAATTTATACAAGCTCTGATCGCTTACTTTCATACTGTCACTCAAGAAATACGAATTTAACAAAGATCACAGCTTGGTGAATGAAATTTAAAACGAGTTTTCCTATTGGTAAGTTCTGAAAAAGTGGGAGCATAGGAGGTTTGTGGTGCTCACATTACATCCTCTTAAATCATTAAACATTTATTTGCAAATAACTTTGTTTCCTGTTGGATTTGGATAATAATTTTCCCAATACTTCCACATGTAAACAGGAAGCTGCACATACCTCTTGTTTTGATGTTTTATGTTACTGCATATTTCTTCTAAAATATAAAACTATGCTTATTTGTTTAGTCTGGGATTTTCCTTTGATATCTACTCTAGTTCCTGACTTTGGCACGAGTCACTACACTTGCTTCAAATACAGCTTTCCTTCTTTTCTATTAAAGAAAATTTTATTAAATATTTGTTTTAGTCTTTACCTGTTTAATTTTTACAGCTTGGAGATCCTAGGTTCTTTGATTTATTTTAGTAACAAACTACAGATTCCAGATCCTTATAAATCAGCTGAAACTAAGTGACAATAAATTAACTATTAAATTAGTCACTTATGCTACAACTGAAATCAAAACCAAACCAAACCTATGATTTTGCAACACTACCATCTTCTTCCACGTAATCTACAGAGGCAGCAGCAGTCCAACAGGAAACAAACCTGCAGTTACTACCTACCTTTCTTGAAAACGGGTCGTCCAGACCTCTCCTTTCTTCTTCTCGACGACGCTACTATCTCCATTTCTCTTTGACGTTTCTTCTTCTCCAGTTCTTCCAGTTTTTTGACACGTTCCTGGTATTCTCGCTGTTCCTGCTCACGTTTCTCACGCTCAATGCGTTCCTTTTCCTCACGCTCTGCAGAAATGCAAATATATAGAGAATGTATTACAAATATTAATTCCGTTACTTTGCTGTATCCATGTAAGGGTTATAAAATACAGTCTCTCCCTTTTGACTCCGTATTAAAAAATATTAAAAGAACTCCAAGCATTTCTCAGGACGTGTTTAACCATGGAACCCATTTTCTCTAGTTATCCTAACTTAAAGGAAAAAAAAAAAATCCCTAATAAATCCATTAATGTGGCATCCTGAACATCAGCTAGTGAGAAAGGGAAGAAAATGTTCCCTTAACTTTATGTACAGTCCACAAATGTGACAGCTAAAATATCAGTAACAACTTCAAGCGTGGTAGAGAATCCCTGCCTTAGAAAAGGTCAGACAAAAACCCAAGTTATCAATGTCAGCTATCCTGAATTTGGTATTCAGAACTGCTTAGGGTTTTGTTCATTTGGTTTTTAAATATTGCAGAATTATGAACTCTGATACATAAAATCTTCATCCACCAAGTGACAAGTAGGACAGCAATTTACCTTACAGGATGCCTACCTCCTTTTCTCTTCTAAAGGCTTGAAACAGATCACCAGATAAAGCAATTCATAACGAAAGGTGTCAGAGTCGCTTACAATTACATAAGGTGTAAAGGTGCAGCAGCTAATAGCAATTAACCCAGCTGTCACCATAGACCGGAAGTGAAAATACGTCCTCCATACGGGGAAACCACAAGTTAGCTGCAGACACATCTGGAATGCGTCAAGGATGCAAGGGATAAAATAGTCACGATCTCTGCACTGGACCATTTCTCAAGTGTGAACTGCCTGAGCTTCAACACGTCAAAATGCAAGGTCCTGCACCCAGGTTGGGCCAGTTCTAGGCACAAATACAAACTGGGCACAGAGTGGGTTGAGAGTAGCCTTGAAGAGAAGGACTTGGGGGTGCTGATAGACAGGAAGCTCCGCCTGAGCCGGCAGGGCGCTCATGCAACCTGGAAGGACAACTGCACCCTGGGATGTATCAAGAGAAGCGTGGTCAGCAGGTCGAGAGAGGGGATTCTCCCCCTTTACTCTGCTCTTGTGGGACCCCACCTTGAATACTGCGCCCAGTTCTGGTGTCCCCATCATAAGAGGGACGTGGATCTGTTGGAACAAGTTCAGAGGAGGCCACAAAGATGATCCAGGGGCTGGAGCACCTCTGCTATGAGGACAGGCTGCGGGAGCTGGGATTGTTCAGTCTGGAAAAGAGAAGACTTCAGGGGGACCTAATAGCTGCCTTCCAGTACCTGAAGGGAACCTTTAGGACAGCTGGGGAGGGACTTTTTACAAGAGTGTCCCCACTGATAGGACAAGGTGAAACGGGTTTAAATTGAGAGAGAATAGGTTTAGATTAGATCTTAGGAAGAAATTCTTCAGTCCGAGGGTGGCAAGACTTCGGAATAAATTGCCCAGAGAGGCTGTGTCTGGACTCCCTGGAGATGTTCGAGGCCAGGTTGGATGAGGCCTTGAGTAACCTGGTCCAGTTAAAGGTAACCCTGCCCATGGCAGGGAGGTTGGATTAGATGATCTCTGCGGTCCCTTCCAACCTAAGACATTCCATGATTCTGTGACTCTACCTTTAAGCAGCTGTTCTTCTCGTAGTCTTTGTTCCTCTTCCTCCTTTTCTCTGTAGTAAGTAATGCGCCTCTCTTCTTTACGTTGTTTCTTGCGTTCTTCCAAACGGTTACGCCTCTCTTCTGCTAACCGTTCCTGGAACTGCTTGAGCTTATCCTGAAATACAAAGAAAACACATGAAAAAACCAACACTGTAACCTTTATGAGCCAGACTGTTACATAAATTGCTAAATAAAGCACACAGAAACACAAACTAACTGCAACAAAGTTAATAAACGTTCCTCCACTGAAAAACAAATACTTGCTGTTTACAACCTTTTCTGCAATTGGTTTCTTGTACAGGAACACACTCCTACTTAGGAGAAAGACAACCGACATGCACAATTTTCATCCTCCATCTGCTTTTTCAGGAAAGGAATTACCTGAATAATAATCTACCTGTACCTAAAAAACATTACCTAAAATTACCTACATTGTTGCAAAGAATAATATGCAGTTCCTTATTTTAACATAACACCTATTTTGCCTTTTCTTAAAACTGGTTCTTACTGCTGCATAGAATACTCAAAGCTATAAACACCAAATGGAGAATTTTTAAAACGTAGAGCAAGAAACAAAGGCACAGTTCTTTGCCTGACTCGTTGTCCAATCTGTTACCAAATTTTACTAACATACAATACATCTTGAAGTACCAAATACTTGAACTGACAAAATAACTTCCAGATTCAAACAATAAGATGAAAAAACAGATAAGTATTTTTATCTATTTGTCAGCATCAGTGTTACTATCAGTATTATCCCATTATCCGAAGTCCAAGTACAGATAGAGCTGGTTGTTCATACTATACCCAATGATCTCTTACCAATACCTATATTGAAATAAATAATTTACCTATCAAATTTTCCATACAAGCTATTCCAGAAGTTGTAAAATACTGTAAAGTGATAACATCTAGGAATGGGTGCAAGAATTAGGGGGTTTATTATTTTTTTAGTCAAAGCGGAAAGTAAACAATTCTGTAATCCTGAACCATTCTGGACACTAATTTATTTATAGCTTTCATGAAGAATAAGTGGTTCACAAGTTTAGTTCCTCACTTCAGGGGAATCTTGCGTACCTCATAAACTGTTCGTCGTGATGCTTTGAGCCTGGCTTCAAATAGATCTCTATCCTCCAACATCCTTGAGAGTCTGTTCTTGTGCTCAAGGGCTTTCTCGCGCTCCAGCTGCAAAGTGGTGATCTAAAAATAGAAAATATAAATAGTATTATAAAGTAAAATCTCACTATATATTTGCATTCAATCTACCTCGGTCACCAGAAAGAGAAATTATCTTCTCCTCTTTCAGATCCAAGACAAAAGATACTCCCCTGTTCACTAGCACAATGAAATTACAAAGCTAATGCTTCATTGTTCACATCACCTTTTTCCCTTCTTCCCTTGCACTGAGCTGGGGAAAAAGGACAGTGAAAAAACGACTTCTTCATTCATTGCTAATGGATGTTATCATTACCATCTGAACCAAAAATTCTCACCCTTTCTTCTTCCTGTTGCTCCCACAGCTCCATATCATGCACTCTTTGCTCCTCGTATGCAGTCTTTATTAAAGGAATTTCTTCTAAGCGCTTCGCTCTTTCAAAATAGTCAATCTAAATAAAGATAATATACCTTTAGCATGTTATAACACAAACACCACATCTGGAAGACTCAATGTCCAGCACCCCCCAAAGAAAACCTCAGTACCTGGAGACTCCTCCAATATACCTCCTATTGTTACGTAAGAACCTTACGCCACATCAAAGGTTCACCCAACCAAGAACCTGCCTCCACCACCAGCAACCAAACGCACTCCTGGGCAAGCATGCAAGAATAGAGGCAGGCACACACACAATACTCTCTTAGCATCATTGATTTTCAGCTCCTGTGTTGATTTATTTTTTGGTATTTATTACCCATTATTCTATTTCTCCCCTTGCCCTTTTGAATTCAGAGAGGCTCTTCATGCACAACGTACTTTGGAAAGAACCCCACGTGTCTATGGCTCGCAGCAGGAAGACCCACCTACGAATAGTTCTGAGCTCCTACTTGCTTCATTCAGTGCTTCATCATCCCTTGCAGTCAGTGCAAGAACAAACAACTGCTCCCCATCACCAGCTCTTACCACAGGTACACTCTTACAGTCTGCCACCACATCCTCCCTCTCGAGGATCTTTCAGACATGGATACTATTTTACTTGGACATTTCTCACACAGAAGCCAATCCACATCACCGGTAATTCACATCGGTCTTCTCCCAAACTTCCAGTACAACTGCATCCTTTTTGAGGTAAAGAGACCAGGACTGCAGACAGTTCTCATTGCTGACTAAGAACGTTAAGTTTGGAGCCCATCATTTAAGATGTGAAACTAAAGACTGGGGCATCTTTTTTTCCCCGAAAATACACAGAGTATTTTATATCTATGTAAACTGAACTTCAGTGAAAGACTCTTTTTTACCCCACAGTTTTCCTTGGTTATGAACTTCGTGAAAAGCTTTTTACCAATCAGACCACCCTTACTCATATGTTTGACAGCTTCAGAGAACTCCAAGAGGATGCCCTGGTTTACGATTCTTCTATAGAACCTGTGCTGACCTTTCTGGGTGGATCATATTTACACCGGTGACTACTAATTCTGTTGAATTTTCTGCTACTTTTCCATTTGCGCATCAGGCTTACAGGCCAGCAGCATAAAAGATCCTCATTAGAACCTTTCTAAATAACTTGCACTTTCCAGTATCAAGCCAGTTTTAAGTGAACTGAACTGCCAACTGTAACACACAACCTCGATTTCATTCTTCAATACTCTCCCAAGTCCTGGGTAAGTTTCACCTTGCTCAGACTATTTATTTCTCTTTACTATGACAACATGTTCCTCACAGCTTTGCAGTTTCAACAACCCACATTTCAGGCAGATCCTATTCAGTCATCTAGAAGGGCTGTAGCAGAGGAATTTCCTCCGTTTCAGTGAAGACTAACAGAACTAATTAAATTTAGCTTCTCTGTAATGGCTTCACCTTCTGTGAACGTTTAATCTTCTCTGAACATTTTCCAATTACAAATCTTCCCAACTAAGACTCAGTTCACATACAGCTTAAGGGTCCACTTTGAAACTAACTCCAGTAATTAGAACAGATTTGTGCACTGATACTAGAAACTAACTTAGCTTTTAACCTCATTTACCTTTTTTTGTAGTTTCATACAGTAACATTAACTCCATATTATTATAACATATAATATTTTATGTGAATATATATATATATATATATATGGGTAAATACAGGAGTTCACAATCACTAACTGAAGTGCTGTACAGATGTGGTTTTGTACTCTTCCTACATTGTACCTTTTTCTCCTGATTCTTCAGACGTTCCTGAAGTTCCTTCTTTTCCTTTTCAAGCTGTTCCACTTGTTTAGCCATAATGAAGTCAGGATCCAGTTCTTCAAGATCCTACAAGCAAGCAAAGTTACCAACAGAAAATGAAACAACCTTTATTTATTTATTTATTTACATTTCTCTGCATTTCCCCCTTAGCTTTTAAACTAATTTGCTTCAGAAACATTCTCAGTTTCTTTTCCTCTCCTCTGAGTAACTCGTATTTTATTTTTTGTAAAACTCTGTAAAGCATCTGTATCTTGGTTTTCAACTCAGACAAAGTCTACGTACTACAAAATTGGACCTGCAGATCTGTTTTGTATTTCAGATACTGTTCAAGCAACAAAGCTAAGGGGTGAAGGTGCACACCCCCCCTTAAATAGCTGGACTTAACTCCTCCAGGTAAAAGAGGTCCTACCTGAACTCAGAATTAAGGTTTACTTACATTGTTGAACAAATAAAATACTTGTGTCAAACTGTCTCATTTTTAAAAGAGGCAGTTTATAAGACCAGTTACAGTGTAGAACTAGTAAAACCCATGAAACTCAGACAGCCTAGCGATTTAACACCAAAAGCATAAAAATAAAAGCTAACTCAAAACTTCAATAAGAAGTTGTCTACCTCAATATCAATATCTTTAAAGGCTTTGGCTCCCAGTTCAGTCTTCTTAATCTGCTCCAAGCGCTCACGAACAGTCTTCTTCTTGATTTGTTCATGCTCTTGCAGGATGCGCTCCTTCTCTCTCTCCTTTGCCTCCTGGCGCAGCCTCTCTTCTTCAGCTTTCCGGACTTTTTGTAATTCTGCTTCACGTTGCTCCAGTTCTTCTTTCTCTCGCTGAATGTTTAAACTTTCAAGGCGCTCTTTTCTCTCCTCTATAGTCTGACGACGCGCAAGAATACGCTGATGCTCCTTCCTTGAGTTTTTCAAGAAGGCAGTGACTGCCAGCTGATGTTGTTCTTCTTTCTCTTGCTGAATTTAAATTAAGAATAAGACAATGATGTATATAGCGTCTCTTTAAAAAGGCAGAAAGCGTAGCAAATGCTTCTCAAAGAAAACTCTAAGTTAGTTTTACTCTCCAAATTTGCCAACTGCATGGAAGTAAAACTGTAATGGCAAATCTCATCGCTCACCCAAGTGGTGTGCACGGTCATATCAACTGACAAAAAATCCATGTGCAGGGAGAAAGCTGCCTGTAAAAATCAATATTCTGCAACACATCTTAAGTATGACAGTTGCAGGCTTTTTTCCTTATAAAAAAATATTGCACACCCGTATGTCACTGATACTTAAGACTCTAACTGAAAGGGGGTTGGGGGATCAATCTTGTTTGTCTCTGCATGTGTTAGCAAGCATAGCACTACATGTACTATATTTCACCAAACTCCCTTGGTTTTAAAGTTTTGTTTTCTTCCAAACACATTAGACAAAATAGACAAAATTAGAGAAAATAGACAAATTAGACAAAATTGACACAAAGTGCTATCTGTGACAGGATAAAAAAGACCTGGTGAGTCAACCATTTAGATATAAACATTGTCTATAAACCCCTGTTAATTAAATTATAAAAAGCACTAGATTTCTAGACACTAGCACACAGACTGTTCTTTAAGCAGCCTCCTCACTCCCCTACGATTCTCCTCAAGAGTAGCTCTACAGATCTCTGCAGAGGTTCCTGCAGCACACACCAAGAGGTGCTAATTGTGCCAGCTCAGGGAGTTGCCCACTTTCATCAGTCCACTGAGCAGCCAAACCCGCAGCCCAACAGCTCCCTCCAGGCCCTCAGTCACCCTGCTCTTGATACGTGAGCTCTCTCCGAGGTATTTATAGTCATCTGTCATTCCTAGGGCATTCAACAAAAACACTGAAACATCTAGGCTTTGTTGCAGATCTGCAAGTGTTTAAAGAGGTGCCACGAACAGAGAAATGCAAATATTCAGATGAATTTAATGGTTTTGCAAATTGCAACAAATTCAACATGAATTAACGTTTTTTAAGCACATTAAAAAAAAAGTTTTCATCTGACTGGCAAAGGAAAAAATGGTATCAACTTGTTCTGTAGCTCCTCTAACCATGTAGACTGATACTAACCTTGGTACTTCAATTTTACAAGCTTAATTACTAGCATTTATGTCTTACCCAGCTAATTGTACTAACACGTCAAATTTAAGACTATTTGTCATTTCTATCTATAATTGTACAAATAAAGAAAGCTTTTTTCTTTCAAGCCAACAAATATATCTGTCACTAGTAAAATCTTTTTAGGGGAAAACCTACATGGAAGTATTTTTAATCTTAATCACTTTAAAACAGGTAAAATATGTTCAAGCTAACTTCAAAGAAGCTAACAAGTATCATGAGACAGTCCTACTTTATGTGTTTGCATTTTAAGAATATTTCTTATTATTTCAACCTGTATTAAAAAAAATAAAATCTAACATGGGTATCTTTTGCCATCAGCCTTTTTCCACATGGAAAAAATATCTGCTACGTTTCCTATGAACTATTTCATAAACATAAAGCAAAAAAGGAAAAATTACCACTGCTCTTTTAAGACAAGCGAAGGTTTAACTTGCCACAACCAAAGCATGCTGGAAATCCGAGACTGATTTACACCTTGCTCCTAGGGGGCTCTGGAGAACCTGAAATGTGAGCTCAGCGGTGAGTCCGACCTTGAAAGCAGCAGCCCCAGTGAGAAGGACAGGGAGCGACAAGGATGGGTCAGTTCTTGAGTCGTGGGATCTTTTGCTCGTGTGTTTAGGTTCCACCGTGAATTCCACATTCCAGGTTCTTCACAACAGCAGTTTCTCCAGCAAGAATAAAGCAAGCAGGCTCTTGGATTTTCAAACACAAGTGCAAAATTTTGAAATCCCAGCTCTGTAGGCCCATCTGTGGGCAAGTTATTATTTGGTGTATCCTAAACCCGATACACATGTGCAAGACTGGCAATTTAAACTCGGGCCTCTTGCACACATTTGGACACAATCTTAGCTATGACCAAGCATTAACTAGTTGGGTGCATTTAGTAATTTGACCTTCTTCACAAGCTCAAATAGCTGAAAAAAAATGAAATTAAACAGTGCATCTAACCTGAGAAAACACATTCACTAACATAATAAGCTTTGGTACAAAGTTACTAGCTCATGTTTCTACTTAATCCACAAGTATATACATGAAGCCCATCATTACTGTCAAATTATATCAATGCTCTGAAAAACAGGGCGACACACCTCTGAAAATAAACTAAGGTACAAAAGTACCAATCGCCACCTACTCAAATCCTTGCAATGCCACGTTAAATTAATCATTAGATAGCTCACCACCTTTCCTATGTCAAGGAAAGCTAAAACTCCTTCACGTATGACCTCACAACGTCAGAACTACCTTGTCTTGTTAAACTAAGAAATTCAAATCTAATAGAACAGATGAGTATGTAACAGATGCAGAAGGATACTTTGTAATAAATACAGTAAGGCTACACTACATTTGTATATATTAACACTTCAGGATCAACTATTTGTTTTGAAGGGAGGGCAGAGCAGTAACAATATTGATTACCACTGCACCGAGAACAGATTACCGGAAGGAGCAGTTGATCAGACAAGCAAAAAAATAACAAAAAGCAAAACTTTAAAAAAAAAAGAGAAAAAAAAGCTGCATTAGAGCAACAGATGAACATCACATAATGTACATGGGGAAAATGTCAGGATTTGTCAACATTTTCAGAAGATTTACAATGACTTACCAGTAAATGAGGAGGCTTAATGACCGCAAGAGCCTTAGCCAGAGCGGAGGACATCGCAGTCAACTGATTTCTGATCTGCTCAGAAGGCATGCTTTGTAGCTGAGGACCTAGCGGGGCATCTTCTCTAGTACAGTAATTCAAATCTGAGCCAAAACTTAGCGTCCGGGTAGTATGATCAAGGCGAACCTTTGCGAAAAAAAATAGGAAGAAAAAGGATTGTATTTATTAAAGAATTTCTGTGTTGCTCTGCCTATGACAAATTTAAGTCAATAGAAGCTCTGAGTAGAAATTACTCTCAGAAAAAAAGTTTTAGCTATACCAGACTATGACAGCAGAATAGCCCAGTGAATAAAAGTTTGATTTCCATAGTTAATAAAAACCCCAACCAAACCCAAAAATCCACTGGATGAGGCTAAACTTTCAATGATTCTATGAAACAAAGCACTGCAAGAGAAATCACTTTTGCCTCTTCCTCCACACTAGTAATACACAAAACAAGAATCCTAACCTTAATGGAGACGATTTCAACACATCTACAATATAAGGTACAGTCATGTGTTAACCTAAATGAATTAACTCAGCTTTATCTAAAAACCTAACTGGGAAATTATCAAGCAACCTCAACTAAAAACTACTTGTATCTCATGACTAGCTTAAACATTTCATTACAGGCTGTCGTTCTTTCCATACTGACAATTTTGCGAACAACCCATCCTTCAACAGCAGCTGAAACACCTCAGACACCGGTGCACATTTCCGACATCGGTGTTTTACTTCAGTCACTTGGTTAGACAAAAACCAGCACCGCTGACTGTTAGCTCTTCAGTCTTGCATAACTAATTCAGCATATTCAGAAATTCACCTCCCTATTCGTTAGACTTGTTTCAGGATATGCTGGACTAAACAATAGTGGCTCACAGTTTCAGCAACTTTTTTCAATTTTTACTTCTACCAGACTTACATTAGTGGTTGTTGACCTAAATCAAAACCACACACCAGAGCGCAAATAGTCATCAGTTCTTGCTATATTGTCACATGCATCTTCTACTCTGGCTTAGCTCCTTCTCCCAGAATCCTCTTCCTTGTGTACAATGTCAGCCAGTTAGTTTACATCCACACACATGAATCCAACCACCACCCACTGAAGTCTTTTTACAGCACTTACCTGTAAGTCACAATGTCTTGCTGCATCAACGATACAACGCTCCAGCTGGAAAGCATCAACAAAAGGAACCAGGGTAGACAGACGAGAAAATTCAATGCTTTGATAAATCTGGGCCACCTGTATGTCAACAGAAATATTCGATATTTTTCCTCATTAAAAAAGAGATCAAAGTTGTTGCATGGGCTACAAAGCTAACTTACTAAATAGTCAACAAATTAATGTATGCGTATTGCTGCAACTGAAAATACTCTTTCAGGATTTTATTTCCATACTGTATGCAAACTTCACCTAATATTAAAAGCCATTCCTGAAAGGCTTCTTTGTATGAAGGAGACTGGCAGCAGTAACTACATACAGCTACGCTGCTAATTAGCCTTCAACTATTTCTTTAGCACATCAGAAATAACGCTGCTCGTCACTTGTAACGAAAGCAGGTCAATGAAATGTGCATTTTATAAACCACTTCAACACAAAAAAACAACCAAAACATCCCACCCAAACCTTACTGCAAAAAAAGTTTTATAAAACAATGAATTACCTTAAATAAGACATCACAGAACTATAATGAGGAAAATCTAGGCAAGAGATTATGCAGCTACTGTTAAGTACAGCTACTATAGCTCTACCAAAATGATGTACAAACCTGAAGACCCAGGCAATATATTGGAATAAAATATTTCAAAATTATAACTTTTTGTATGTGATGGAAAAAAAAAATTACTTCAGCATGTAAGCTTCCTACTTAACATTCTTCCAAAGCATTTTCTAACTTAGGTATATTTATGAACAAACCTTTTCTTTATTCATACCTGCTGCAGGAGGCGGAGAATGGTATTGTTCTGCAGGTGAGGAACATACAGCTGCAGTTCAGGCTCCTTTTCAGCTTGGTCTTTCACCCAGTTCAGAACCTATCAAAATTCTAACAAGTTACTCTATCTGCACCAACCCTTACAAACGTCAACATTAAAGTCTGAAGTATGGTTCTTAAATACTTCTGGTTTATAGTTCATGAGACAACAGCACTTCTGTGCAGATACTACACTGTTTTACCGAAGCACATCTTTTGATCAGAACACTTTTAGAAGGGATAGCTTGTATTTTTTGTACGAAGGCGACTGACAGTACTGGCAACATTTACCACACTGCTAATTTACCTTCAAGTTCTTTTTAGCATCTCAAATATCTTTGTTCCCACTATCAAAGAAAAAGAATATTGTGTGCTTCATTAACCTAATTAACAGGCTCTCACATCATCTTACCTCCCAATCTTCTACATTTTAAGAGTAAAACCAGTCATTGGTACATTTTTCCACTTCCTACACAACTCACGCACGTGTGCACACAACACAGTTTTCTTATTCCTGTATCTTTAAACAAAATTTAACTCAGTATCATCTCCACCAACAAGACCTTCCGATATGTACCCAAAACTCTGCCCTAAACAGCACCCTAGACACCTGAATGAACCTATTTCAATAGTCTGGTGTACTATGCATAGATGACATTACATACGTATCATTGTAATGCAATTTGACCAAATAAACCCAACTACTAAAAATTCTGGCAACACAGAGAGTTGGTTTCTACCACAAATCAATGTTCAAATAACAGACTGTTAGTCAAGGCAAATTACTATATGCACAGCGCTACAAAACTTACCTTGCTGACACGGCTACATAACTTGAGCGGGTGAAAGTCTACCTCAAGCCAATTGTAAAGTTCTTTCACTTCTGGAACAACATATTGCACTACGTTGAACCTTACCTACAGTCAACGAGAAAATCCAAATATTTCAGAAAAAATGCAATATTAACAAACAGTTATGCTTTTAAGAATTTTATAGTCAAGAAATTAGAAGTTCATATTCAAGAAGTACAGGCACAACCTGTAGCTTTGAATACAGGAGACTACTTGTTTTTTACTGCAGCATTCTTAGTTGCAGTGACAATAACTGTATGCTGTACCACTTAACCGTATTTAAAATGGAAGAGTAGACAGAAAAACAAACATAAATATTTAAATTATCAGCCTCGTTAGCCATTTCTAAGACACAAGTTCTACTACACAGATGTATGCCCATATCCAAGTTGAAATGACACAACTCCATTCGTGACAAAACTTCTGAGGTTTTAAATTGTGGGTTTAAGACAAACCAGAGAGCTATCAGAAGAAGAATTAATGCAAAGTGTGTAGAACAAACCTTGAATGCAAGTTTTAGGCATACATGCAAATGACTGCAAGAAATTCAGAAAATACCCGTCTGTGACTGAATGCCTTCTTGTTTATGAATATCTGGGAAGCTCTGAGGACAGATACATCCACCTTCCCTCCAAATTAAACACAAGGAAGTTTTCATAATCACTCAGGTCCTTACGGTCCACCGTTTGCTGCCTGCCCTGTGCTTATCCAAAAGACATTTCAAACTGAAAAATGAACACTCAGTGTTTAAAAGCTTCTTATCTGAATACCGCTACCTACCATATCATTAATGAGACTGCCACGCGTAGGTGGGGCCTGAAGACCCAACAGGGTTGCCAGACGTCGCTGTTTCTCCACAATGATGCCATCCATATCCAGAAGACGAGCGATATCTGTTCTCTCAGGAGTTATCGGGATTGACAGAGTGGCCAGAAGGACTCGAGTAGACATCCTGTTGATGAAGCATAACCGCAAAAGATGAACTGCAAGAGAACACTAATTAATACCTTTTCACGTATGTGACAAGTCAAGGGTAAGAATGACTGGCAATTCGTGATGTAAAAGTGTGTAAAAATAGGAGTTACAGAAAATATGCCAACTGCAAAATAAGAGCAGAGAATGCAGTGTTCTTCAGTAATGAGGGGAAAGATTTTGGTAACATCTTTTCATTACTTACACACAAGTGTATAAAGATGTATATACACACAGAAAGAAATGCTAAGAAATTTAAGTCATCTCTGCAAACAGAAAAATGCTATAAAATAATGAAAACAGCAGAAAGCAGCACCTTTTCAAACTTATTGAGCTGCAAATCCATACCAATCATTTTGATTGCACTGATTTTTAAAATTTACTGTGTGAGCCAAATAGAATTTTTGACATAACAATACAAACGACATCCCATATTTAAATTCTGACCTTAGTACCCAGATGAACAGGAATGTAAGAATTGTGACAGAGCATTTATTCTCACCAGATTCTGATTCTCTGAATTCCTGTACACAAATTTCAGAGGTTAATGCAGTGAACAACTCTGCAAGCTCCAAAAGCCCTGCCAGTACCATATTGATTACAAAAAAAATTTCAAGGCCATTTGACTATAAGGACTTGTATATATTAAGGAAAAGTCGATAATACTTATAAATTAAATCTCGTGAAGTAAATACCACCACTCAGAAGAGGAAAAGGAAGCAAAATACGGACACTTGGTAACTTGCTTAGCTTCTCAGTCAGTAACAGACAAGGAAGCTTAAATAAGATAATCTTGATGTTTCCATTATTTACACTGTGGCTTTGTGAAATATCCTTCTTGCTCTAGGTTTCTTTTCAGGCAATTAGTATTGGCCACTTTAAGCAGAGTCACTCATCACCATATATGCCACTTGCCTCTTTTGGGGTACAATTTAATTTATTTTTGAACCTAAAGGCTTAAATTAAAAACTGAATTTAAGATCACACTAAATATCTTTCCCACCTCTGCATCTCCTCTTGTGTGAGATTCTTTCGCATTTCTCTTGATAAGTGATAAAGTCTGTGAAGAGTGGATGCATGAAAAAGAGCATTTCCTGATTTCCAGAAGACAGTTGAAACTTTGTGATAGTAATTTGCCATCAGTTGTGGTTTTGGTGGTTTCTTCGAGAGCGCAAATAAGCCATGAATATCCTCCACTGCTTTGAAAGCTTCCTAAAAAAACCAACCAACCAAACACACTACTTTAGGAAGTTTTTGGCAAGCCCCAAAAAAGGGAAAAACATACATTCACTAAAGGTTTTAAGATTATAATATACTTAATGCCACCGAAAGCTATGATCTTCATTTTTGCCAGTTACATGAAATGAAACACTTGTTCCCCATTAAAGAAATTATTTGGACATACTGCAAATCCATTAACTATCCGCTTAGAATCTGATACTTAACCAAATTAGTATGTGAGTATTTCACATATTTTTTTTGCAAACTGGTTTCTTTCAGATTTTCAAGCTACAAAGCAAGAGGGGAAAAGAAGAATAACAAGAATTCTACTATTTTACTCTTATACCAATTCTATGATTTACTGGTTTTACCGTTTTCATAAAAATATCTGGTAGTCAAAAATGAGTATAGCTTCCCTAAAAATACATATAATCTTGGAAATGCTTTACACGTAGGTACCTAAAAATGAAACAATGCAACAGAGAACATTCTCCAGATTCACAAAATCAAAAATGACAGCATTGGCTTTTTAAGGAATTTGACATTAGGAAGGTCAGAAAAGCAAAGCCCCTCTTGAAAAATTTGCTTTGGTAGTGTCTTCACTAGCTGGACTCCAATGCCATCCAAGCAGCAACGCCGGGGCCTGAGTCGAACAGCAGGCTTTAGCGTTCACCGCCCGCTCCCCAGTGACCTAGCTGGTGAGAACGGGAGGTGGCAGAGGTGAAGGTGTCATCATCAATTTGAGTTGTCAATGTGACTTCAGCTACTTCACCATTTACTGCCACCAGTTTGAAATGCTATGCAGGAACATCAGACAAAGTATTCAATATATGCAAAGCACCACATTCTAGATACGGCAACTTTCTTCTTTAGCTATTAACCTATCCTTCCCCTGGAGTATATACCACGAAACACCATCTCTGTGGAACAGATTCTGGAACAGGCTGCAGACAGCAGTGTGACTAGAGGAGCCCCACTGCGTACCTGCCACAGCTCCATGCTAATAGCACTGTCGAGTTGCACCAGCCTGGTCTCCAAGTGCATGGACTGACTGTCGGGATTGTTGAGGTTGATCGCTGTGCTTTGGTTATGATGACGCTGGATCTGCCCCAAGTGCATTCGCAGGTTATCACAGAGCTTACGGAACTCGGCTTTACGCGTGTACTGCAGGCAGAACTTAAAAGCTGCAAAAGCAAGTAACAGAAATTAAGGATGCTCACTAATGGTGGCTTCGTGGTAGTTCTAAATGGGATTCAGATATGTAAATCAGTACGTTTAAAGAATCTTCATTTACAGTCCAAAGACTTATCAAACGAGAGGCAATCCAACTGCCACGCATAATGAATAAGTGACAATACAGAGCACTTATATCTTGACCTCAAAAAATGAAGATGCTTCTCATAATTAAGCTTATGGAGCAAAGGGAATACTTTTGAGTCTTTTTAAAGAATTCTAATTTAAAAAAAAAAAAAATCTAATTTAAGTAGTGCTTCTAGCTTTTGTTTTGAACTAAGTGCAAATAAAATTCTATGAATGGGATGAATTCCGGTTTTGACCCTGTAAAATGTGGAAAAAAGTTCTTGAGTCATCTAAATGATCTTAAAGGGCTTTTCTAACCAAAACAGTTCTATGATTCTATTAATATGGTAAAGTTAAATGAAGCTTTCAAGAGACTGGAAAAGACACAGAAAAAAGAAAGTCTTTGATTTCATAGTACCTTTCAAAAATCGGTTTTTGCTTTGCCACTGTCACTCTGGAAATTCTGAAGTATCTCTGCTAGACACAGGCACAAAAGGAAGTCTTGATGCTGTAGCACAAAGACTTACACTGAAGCACCTAGAACGCATCTGACAGATACCTTCCCAACTGTACTTGCACAATTTGCATCTAGAATTAAAAATCTAACAGACTTTTTTTGGAAAAATACAGAGCCCTCAGTTATATGTACAAAGGAAAACATTCTTCCACTCATCTCTCACCCTAAGAAAAGATTAACATATGAGTATTTACTCTTCTAAATGAATTGCAGAATTTTTGAAGAATAATGCCAGAAAGAACCAGACTAGACTTTTTGCTATTACCTTTTGCATAGTATTTTGCAAAGTTACACCTATGTCAAAATTGACAGTGCATCATCATTTTACAGTGCCCCTTTGTGTACACTAGTTTTGAATTTAGCTGGTATAGAATATGTTAATGGAAGACACATTTGCCATTCTGAATAACAAAGTGAAAACACAACTTGATCAGCAAATTAGAAAAAATAAAAACACAGAACCAGTAATTCTCTTATTTTCAGTGTGTCCAGGAAGAAATAATTGCCGCAAGATCAGTCAGTGTCCAGAAACCCCAATAATTTTAAGGAATCTCTGTAATTTAAGAATTGCATGTGTGCACATATATATGCTTAAGAGGTTAACGTACTTCCAACTCTGAAGCAATATCCAAATAGAAAAAAACTTTAATTTTCTAGTTTTACAGGATGTAATACAGAAGTCCTAGATTTCATTATACTTTCGGTTCCCATCTTTTTGACTTACCTTGCTGTGCAATGTCATGGTACAGGCGTTCTACTCGAGAATTATTTCGGAGAAGATCTAAACATTGTCTGTAGGACTCCCATAGAAATTTAACCCAGGGTGTCAAAAGCAGTCGGTCAGTACGATCTTGAGTGTCTTCTCCACTTACAGCACTCAAAAGAACGCTATAGTCAGGGCAAGGAAAGGAAAAAAAAAAGAAAGAAAAAGTGGCTTATTCCCCAAAATTCTCACTAATTTTTCTTATCAAAATCTAAAACGAAATTGGATAAATCTAAACAGATAATTGCTGTTGAATAATACAATGCTTATTTTCATGAAATCAAAGTCTGCCAGACTTCTCCTTTTTCCTTCAAAGGATGTACATAACTTATTTTTTAAAATCCTTTTTGAACTATGCTTCTAATATAAACCCTCAACTCTTGTAACTCTCTTCTACTACACTGCTTCCAGTTCTAATTTACTTCCTTGAGCGCTAGTACTACGTAAAATTTTCAAGATGACGTTTCACCAGTGCTTTCGCCAACAGATCAAGCAGTAAATCTGGCAAAAAAAGTATGAGAAGCCTAGAAAACAGGACCAGAAAGAACCTGTGGCTGCTAAGATAAAGGAGCGTGACTGAAAAGACACATTTTCCAGTCCTTGGTTACATAAAGGAGACCAAGGAAAAGAGCAGTCAGTCAATCTTCAATGTCTCTTAGTGGGATTCCTCTGTATTCAGGCACTGGAAATAACACGAATGGCACTACCATCCTGCAACAACTACTGAAGAACTTGTAATCTTTTCATTTTTTGAAACCAGTGAGTTCCACACTTCTACCAGAGAGCCTTGCTGTGAACATGTAAATCCACAGCCTTCTACTCCAGGTCTGTGTATTAATTATTTAAATTCTCTAACTCTGCTCCTTATAGTCACCTACACAAGACAAAACACTCTCTTCTTTGATAATTTATTCAAATCTTCTATCATTGTTAGATACAACTTTGACTTTTTTAGTTTCTGTGCCAACATTTTAATCAAAATAATTCCCACTACGCTCTTCGCTTTGTATCTCCTTTCACCATTACATGTCATCAGTTTCTCACTGGGCAATGTCTTAGTCCCCTCCCAGCTCAACTGCAAACATCCCTCCTACGGTAGCAACAGCTCTACTTTTCCCGGGGTTAGATCTCTGGCATTTCTTGAATCTAAAAAATTACCTCACCAAATAAGATTCTAACATAATCAGATGTCATCTACCCTTCAAGAAGGCCTGTGATGAATTTTGTCTTATTTTTAACCCCATGTACTCCTTCCTTCCTTCAAAACTCACACTAAAGACCTGAATGCCATTATGACCAAGGTAACATCTCAGCAACTGTTCAGACCCACTACTCAGTCCTACAGACAGATGATGAGAAAACACACTGTCTGCCCAGATGAGTATCTGCAGAGCTCTAGTAGTAAAGTGTTGCTTTCATCTTTGCACCACACCTAGGAGAGCTAATCTCAACCCACCTCCTCAGAATTTTACCACCATTTTTACTAGAATTCTCCACTTACAGGTGAAGATCCTTTTGTTATTTTTTTTCTGTACATCTTCGGCAAGTTTTACTTTGCTTTAACTTAAGGAAATTTTAATTTATTACCTACAGTTTTTGATTTTTTTTTTTTAAAGGATATGGGCAGATGGCCTCTTCCAAACTCAGCTGGAATTATTTAAAACATTTCTTCACTCCCACCTTGTCACCTTTCTTCCACAGATGTCACCACATATGTAGCTATTGGAGTTAACATGAGCATTCCCTAAACCAACATATTCATGTGAAGAACACAAACAGGCAATCAGAGCTAACCTCACTTTGCCTGAAGCAGATTCGGAAGTTCTCACATAAAACACAATAACAGAACAGTGAGTTCTCACGGAGCTGGAGAGTGGTCACATCCCAACCTCGCACTACTTAACAGGTTGTGTCTATACACATTCTAAAGCAGATATATTTACTGACCCTTTTTTCCCACTCCTACGTTCTCATTACCCATCCAATTAATTATAACACTCTGAATTTACTTTTTGTGCCCTTTCCTCTATTACGTCATCAGTTATCCAGGCAAATATAAAATAACATTTCCTTTTGTTTGTACAGCCACAATGTGTTCAGAGAGACTGGAGGCTATCACATACAGGAATTAAATTCGTCTAATGCAATTAATATCACCTGTACACCAACTGACAATGAGCAGCTTAAAATAATACAATCTATGATACCACTAGATATGCAGATCTGAGTAGACCCTACAAAGTCATGACCCAACTCCCAGAATCACTCCTACTGTATCTTCCTACTGGATGTTTTCTATTCTTTACTAGTTATTTACTATTCTTTACTCGTTTCTTTCAATGCAAAATTCCTTTTTTTTCCCCCCTACCTTTAGAACCTCTAGAACACCATTAGTGCTCCATGTTAAATCCACTATCTTTATATCTCAGTTCTCTAAATTGCTAACATTTCATGAAAATAAGGATACTTTGCTGTGAATTGCTACATTTTAAAGACAGGCCGCCTACCTTTCTGGAGTTTGAATGTTATCTAAGTCTTCTATGTCCAATACCATCTGCTGGGATTCTTCCTTAGCTGCTTCTGTTTTTTCTTCAGCTAATTTTAAATAGGCTCGAACAACATCCTCCAAAGATTTGATGTTCACCTACATCAAAGGCAGAAAATAGGAAGATGTTTCCACCCACAATAGGCAGCAAATATTTAAAGCAAAAATGCTACAAACCCAGGAACATCTAAAAGGCAAATTAATTCTAATTCAAGACTAAGCATTTAGGTTTAGATCATATCAGCTGAGATATACTATGCTGGCTACACTTAAAAAAATAAAATAAATCAGAAGCCATACCTGCTGACAAATATTCTTGTACTGGTACAGCCCTTCTTTTGCCAGGTGACTCTTGCGGAGATCCACACAGAGTTCCAGGTACTTCAGCATAATTGGCTCGTGGATTTTCTGCCATGTTCGGTGTTTTTTACTTTTCATAACATCATAGAGAACATCAAGGGCAGGCTGCTTTTTGCCGACCTCAAGGAATTCTGAAAGTGAAATCAAATTAGCAAAAGACTCGCAAACCAGAAGATTCATGTTTTAAAACTGAAAACTTTTACAATTTAATCAACCCTAGGCAAAGTTTATTGACAGTTTGATTCAGCTGGCCACATCAAAAATGTTGGCAGATGCAACTGCGGTGGCAGTCTATCAATGACATAACTGGCAAACAAACTTATACCTCTCCATTAACAGGAAAATTTCAGGACAGCAGAGATGTCTCTTCATCCATCAAGGTACGACCGGGCACTTCATACATATTAATAAAACATACATTTCCAGTTTTAAAGCTAGTTCATCAAGAAAGACAACAAATATATACCATGAGACCTGTAGTACAGCACCTACCAGAGAATCTGACTTCCTCAAGGCAAGAAAGAAACTTCACTCAGAAAAGACATCTGGATTTTTTTTTAAAACTCAGTCTGGAGATTCGGTTTATAGAACAGTTACACTAAAAACTGCTCCAGTCCAAGTGAAGGGTCAGAAGTTTTTCAAAGTTACTGCTGAAACCAGTGCCCAGTTTATTCATTCCCTAAGCAGCTGCTGTTACTGACAGGGTTTCTCAGCACCACAGCAACTCCCATCTGTGATAAACCACGTTCTGCTCAGCACAAAGTCCAACACACCACCCAGGACCAAAGAGAGAAGCGCCACTGGCAGCTATCAGCACACACACAGGCCCTGCACCAAACCTCCTCTTAACTGCAGAAAAGTAAGACAAAGGAGCGCAGAAAAGAGTAAAGTGGGAGGCAGTGGGGGCCTGCTCAAGGTCCTGAGACATCAGACATAGCTGCTAAGTTTTGAAACCTTAGAACTGAAGTTAACCATGGCTAAAAGACGTATTTTGAAAGCAGCAGTGCAGTTTTGATTTAAGGATGATAACGACATGTATTCAGGGCTTAGTTTCTGTAAATAATAAGCTTACATGAGATGAGCAAGTTCCTTCTAGAAAAAACAGTTACATTTATATATAATTAAGGTTAAAGTAACAGGATTTAGCAGTATTTTTTTACTCACCAAGGGAATTTTAATAAAACTATCCTCCATTCCATAATTTACTCAATTATTCTATCTCAGTGCTGCTTTTGAGACAAGTACTGCTCAGCTTTACATTTTTTTATTTATGAAAATAGACCTGAAAGGCAAGTTCAATCTTGCAACAATGACAGGCCACTCCAACTGCAACTCTCAGTAGGTGATAATCACAGAATTGCAGAGATTGGAAAAGACCTTTAAGGTCACCTAGTTCAACCATTAACCTAACGCTGTCAAGTCCTCAACTGAACCACATCTTATGTCTACCCGACTCTTAGATACCTCCAGGGAAGAGGACTCCACCACTGCCCTGGGTTCCAATGTCCCTTAACCTTTTCAGTAAAGAAATCCTTCCTAATATTCAACCTAAACTTGCCTTGGTGCAACTCGAGGACACTTCATCTTGTCCTACCACTTTTTACTTGGTTGAACAGGCCAACTCCAACTTCACACATAATCTCCTTTCAGGCAGTTGTAGTGCAAAAAGGTCTTCCCTCAGCCTTCTTTTCTCCAGGCTGAACAACCCCAGTCCTCCCAGCTGTTTCTCATAATACTGGTGCTCTAGACCCAACATCCTTCTTGAGGGGCCCAAAACTGAACAAAGTACTTGAGATGCAGCCTCACCAGTGCCAAGCATAGGGGTAAAATCGCTTCCCTGGTTCTGCTGGCCACACTATTTCTGATACAAGCCAAGATGCCAACTGGACAAAGCACAAAATTAATTCATATTGTTGTGAAACTTTTAATTAACTCCAGTCAAGCAAGTTCTTACAAGTAAGGTAAATAATTAAGGCTGATTTAACAGACACCACAGTAAAAGCATGCACAAAGCAAAATTGTAGAGTGAAATACAGCACACATCACCATGCCTTGCAGTAGAAACTGTAAGTTATGGAAACAAATGTTTGTCACAGACAAAATGTAAAGCTTTAGTCCCTAAACAGCTGTCAGAAATATTTTTTTTTTTCTATTTTTTACTGTTACGCCACTTAAAATGCTAGAAGGTACCCAAAAACAGCAAGTGAAGCTGAGTGGACAAGAACTAGCTGATACATGTTGACAACTCATCTACCGCTAACTCAAAATCCCAAATTAAGCTAATTTTTCAACCTAAGAAAATACACAGCATAACAAAAGGTGACAAAGATGTGATGAGTCAGTCAATATCTCTAACAGAGAACAAACTCAGTATCTGCAACAATAAAACGTTCCCAAAAGTTGCACTGCATCCTTGACTACAAAGCAATGCCAGACACTAACAGCCAAGGGTTGGCTTTGACCTACCTTTATCATTTTTAAGGGAAAAGAGCCTTTCTTACACATGTTCGTAAGTACAATCGTTCAAGCTCTTCTTACTTTTAAAACATTTTCTATGAATGTTGAGGTCAATGAGAATCTGAAGCATAAAGCACTCCTGAACGCTCACTTGACTCACATATAAAACACAAATACTGAAACTCTAGAAACTGCACTGAACGTTCCAATTTGAAATGTCAGTTTAACATGAAACTGCTCCCTGCAACACAAACAGTATGATTTTTCATCTTTTTACACTTGGCCATGGTGAGATTGAGCCCCTGCAATCTACCAGATTTGACATTGCTTGTCATGTTTTCCAGTCTACCAAGATTCAAGACTGCATTTGTCTAGAGAACACCCTCCAGTGCCAATCCTTCTGTTCAACTCCATCAAAATTTAGCAGACTTGCAGCAGTGCAAGAGATGTGAATTTAAAGCTCTTTAATACCAAGAAAGCTACACTAAAAGTCAGATTTAAACAGTTTAAGGTCAATATTCCAGCAATGTGACTTGCTCACCGAGTAAGTACAGCTTAATCTACCCAAGAATAGTGAAATTTAATTTAAAGCTTATATACTACAGTATGTGCATTTTTTCCACTAAAAGGACTGCTAAAATATAACTTCATCTTTGGAAGATGATTGAAGCTAATATTGTCTTTTTATTTTTAAGTGGATGATTTTCACAATGAATTTTAAGATTAGAAATCTGGAGGACGTGCAGTACTTTACGTAACGTGTTCCTGTTAAAATATCAATTAATAATGTGTAGCACCTAGACTACGCACCCTCGGTAGCTACCGTTTCAAGACCCCATACATCATCTGTAATTTCTGGATGCCTTTAAGTGTCATCCTGCAATCAGCCCTGTGACAGTGAAGGGTCTAACTGGTCTTGCTACGCGCCTAAAATAGGATGCTATAAAAAAAAGGATATAGCTGATAAATATAACCAGTCCAGCTTTATATGTGGCAGTTAGGGAGAAACAGCTACAGCACAGTTCTCTTTGGCTTTTATTCCAGAACAAACTTATGCATCAGCCTGTGCAGCACTTACGGAGTTCAATCATTTGCATTCTCCCCAGAGGCACATGAAGGATGGGACTACTAAACAGGAGATCCACATGGAAAAACTGTGCCCGGGATCAGACCTGTTTGGAAATCACCCCGGAGCTGGCGCCAGGGCTAGGCCGGACACCTCAC